GGTGACTATGAAATTAAATAAATATGGGTATAGTACTTTTTATAAAAATACAATTAACCCACTACTTTCTAGGTATAAAGGTATTTATATTCTCCTTTTTATTTCTACACTATGGCTTATTTTTCAGGAAAACAAAGGGTAGATTGGGCATTTTTAAGATGATTATTATTTATCTTCTTCCAAGTTTCAAAGACAGCAAATCTTTTTCTCATCACTTATCTACAGAAATTGACATGCACAACAGAGAATATTTAAACATAAAGTTGTACTGAGGCTTAGACACAATTTATTTCATGCTCCATATGAATATATTTCACCAAATTGAGAGCCTCAGAAAGGAAAAGGCCATGTTTTTTTGTCCCTCCCATTACCAGGACCTTTCCAAGAGCTAACGTCTGCTATATCCATCTCTTGGCTTTGATGGTAGACGTTTTAAGCTGGCAGGAGAATTAAGAACAACACTTAATAAAAAAGCACTTAAGAATATGCCTTTAGAGTTAAGCAAATACTGGGCTGAGGCCTGATTTTGCCACTAATTACGTAACTTCGGACAACTTACCTTTCTAAATCTGGGGGTTCCTATTTGGAAAATGTGGATAAATGTGGTTCCTACCATATCACATTGTGGTGAGAGTTAAATTAGATTCATACAAGCCTCTTTCTGCAGTACCTGACAAGCAATACGTGTTCAATACTTGCATCCAATAACATGTACACACTGCACACTGAATGTACACAAAATACACCAATGAGAGAATGGAAGGTAAAAAAGTGGAGACAATAGAAACAAAAAATTATTTCAAGATTGACCATGTGTAGGTGCAGAGAGAAGTAGTAACTAAAAGGAAGGCGTCAATGCAAGGCTTTACTTTTTAAGATGGGGAAAATGAAGCAACTTTTTATGCTGAGGGAGATGATTAAATAAAGGAGAAATTGTAAATGTAGGACAGAAGAGTGATAATCAGAAGAGAAGTTTTTGCTACCAGGAGGAGGAATTTGTCTTTCGTAGGCGTAGACACAACCCCCATGCTCACCCACAGTTCATAATAGGAGAGGAGAAGAAAAGCATGAGTGAAGACAGGCATAAATTGCCCTCGCTTGTCAGTAGGTGAGAGAATGCCCAGAAAACGAGAATATTTCAATGAAGTGCGAGGTGAGGTCATCAACTAAGAGTCAGGAGGAATAGAGGTCAGAAGTTTTATTTATTTATTTATTTATTTATTTATTTATTTTGAGACTAAGTCTCCTCTGTCTCCCAGAGTGGAGTGCGGTGGAGCGATATCAGCTTACGCAACCTCTGCCTCCCAGGTTCAAGTCATTCTCCTGCCTCAGCCTCCCAAGTAGCTGGGATTACAGGCGCCCACCACCACATCCAACTAATTTTTGTATATTTAGTAACGATGGAGTTTCATCATGTTGGCCATGCTGGTCTTGAACTCCTGACCTCAAGTGATCCACCCACTTCAGCTTCCCAAAGTGCTGGGATTACAGGCGCGAGCCACCACGCCCAGCAAAGTAGGAGTTTTAAGGAGAAAGACAAGAAATGAAGTAATCATTCAGAGAAGAGGTAGAGCCAGATACATGCAGAGAAGGCCTGAGCAGTGCCCAGTACCAGATTGAATTTTGTGATTGTGTACTTAACTGGCAACCATTCAAGCTGTTTATGAAATTTCCTCCAGGAAAATCTCCTTAAAGGGGTTGAAAGAAGGAAAAAGGGCTTTCTGGTTGGTTTACCTGGAACTGAGATTCTACTACTTGACTCAGAGAATAGGAGAGAGGAGGGAGGGAAACAGTGATATTTGCAAGGAGCCGATTACACTCGAAGGTCATGGAATGCAAGATAAGATAAAACAAGAAGAGTTGATAGATTCATAGTGCAAGACCACTGAAACAGAGCGCTTAGGGATATGGGAAAATTATAGTGCTAGAGGTTGCTGAGCAAAGTCAATTGGAAAAACACAATTTGTGTTTGGAGAGCAAGATTTTTGAATTTGAGATTTGGGAGCTGGAATAGGACCTGTTGATACTGAGCCTTAGGGTGTGACCCTGGGATTAGCCAACTGCCACAAATTGGAAGAAAAGGTGAACTAGTGATTAGGAGATCAAGAAACCAAGAACCTTTGGAGCTAGATGGGTTCATTCTCATGGATATAAAAATTGCCAGGAATCCTAAGTAGCATATATAAGGTGTTTATTATGCATCAATGTTCTGAGAGTTTTATCTGTATTCTTTGATTCCTAGCATTTAAGGCTGCTACACCTAGTATCCTTTCCACTTTATAGCAAAGAGAGTTTAAATAATTTTCCCATGGCAACATAATTAGCAATGATAGAGCTGGGCTGAAACAGAGGCTCCAGAACCTGTTCTTGTATGGACTACATTGAATTTTCTACAATTATAATGATAGTATGGATGTGGAAAGTGAAATTATAATCTAGATTCCAAAATTTTTAGTGAATTAGGGTGCAAGGTAAGGATATCTGTAGGAAAAAAAAAGAAAAAAAAAGGAAAAAAAAAAAAAAAGAGAAGGTGAAGAGTCAGTTCCAGAAATTTTAGAAGAGCCTGGGGGGATGATGGTAAAAAGAAGAGTGACCACCATTCTGCCACTGAAGAATTTAAAAATGAGAAAAAAAAAAAAAAAAAAGATTTTTTAAGAGAATGCAGAGGGGACAGTGTCCTCAAGATCCATTCTGTTTCTACAAATACTTACTTAACTGGGTGGATGGAAACTACAGAGCATTAGCATTTTTTTTTCAGTCTCTCCCTATGAGCTTAATGAGCACACTCATTTGGAAATAACTGAAGAAAGTGAAAGAAAGAAGAGAATTTTCTGAAAAACAGAAGATAAAGAATTTTCTGGTCACAAAATGAGAATTCTAGGATGATAAGTGGAAATGTTTGAGAAAGAAGGAAAGGCAGTCATTAATGTTATTGGTGCCATTGGTATGTGTATCTTTGAATAACTTCCTTTTCCATTGCTTGATATTATTTTTACTTGACAACAATGGTTCAGTCTGATTGCATTATTCTTTTATTGTGAGCATCTAAAACTATATTTGGTAGGAAAGGGATGGGATGTAAATATTTTAAAAAGTAATAAGAAGGTGAGGAAATATAGCTTATTGGTAACTGGTGTCAAGAGGGTGAGTTTTAATCAATTTAGGCAGTGGTTTGGGCTGAGTTTACAATGTCGTGTGCTCGTGCCTTTCTTTGAATTTTCCTCTCTTGGATGCTTATTGTCCCATATAACTCTAAAAGCTGACTTTACTTAAACAAAGATTTAGAGAAAAAAACGAAAGAAGAAGAAAAAGAAGGAAGGAAAGGAAGGATGGATGGAAGGGAGGGAGGGAGGGAGGGAGGGAGGAAGGAAGGAAGGAAGGAAGGAAGGAAGGAAGGAAGGAAGGATGGAAGGGGGGAGGAAAAGTGAAAAGACAGTAATCAAAAGAAGAAATTGAGCAAATCCTTACATGACAAGACCAAATGGAATTAATTGAATGGCAAGTACAGGCATAGGAAGTAGTATAGTCCAAGATTACTCACTGGCCTAATAGGAAGAAATACGAAGTGAAATCAAGCTGTTTTCTGAAACATGAGTGTGTAGATATAATCAAAGGATGATATCATTTCATATGTAGTATCTGAACAATTGATGATCCTTCAAGAAATAGTTGGAATTAAAATCCTTTTGAAAAAGCTATTAAAAAATATTTTTATGGTCTCTATTATGAAATGCCAGTTCATACACTTATTTCTGATTATTTCTGAGATAATTATATTGTAAGAATAGGGAAATTGTAACATCTTGGAAATAGTCACTTACTACAAATGCCTGAGTTTTTGGCCAAATATAAATTCTACATCTGGGTTCAAAACCTCAGTTGCACAAAAATAACATAATTTGACTTCTAAGTAGTGTATGTGTCAGCTGGATGACTATATAAGTAAGCAAAGGGGACTTGGTCATATAATAGATGACCCAGAGGAAGGAGGAGTATAATCCTGCCTGTCTGTGGGCTCTTCCAATCACATTTGTAGAAGAGGGTTCTATTCAGAACTTTGGGCGTCATTGATGAGCTTGGGCACACAGAAGATAGCCATTGTAAATGTTTTCTTGGTTAGAAGACAATTTAAAGAAATATAATAATAATCTTCAAAAGGTTGGTTGTCTGTTGTGTGCCATCCTAAAAAGGATTTTTAACAATTATTTTGAGAAGGACAACTTTTAGCTGTCTGTTTGGAAGAACGTTCAAATAACTGGAACTTTCCAAAGATAAAATGGACCATTATAGCAGATAATGCATTCCCTTTAACAGGAAATACTTATCTTTACTGTAGGTAATCACTTAGACCCACAGACAAAGACGTTTGGGTATCAGTTGGGAAGAGAAAAATAACAGCTGATAATTTGCTGAGTACTTACTAAATGCCAGGCACTGCTATCTGTACTGTCTCATCTATCCCAATAATCAATCATCCTTTGAGGTTGATGATATTCTTCATATCTTACGGATACAAACCATAAAGCCAAGAAAATTGCTAGTAAATGACACAGACAGGATTGAACTTCAAACTCTTAATAACCATCCTATATTACTTCTTAAGGAAGTTGCAGTGGGAGACTTCCAGGGTCAGTTTAAACTCTAATGATCATTGATTTTGAAAGTCACACTTCAAGGGTTTAGAGTAGTGGTCTGGAATTAGACCAGGGTTCCAATCTGGACTGAGTTTACAATGTCATGTGCCAACAATTTTCTTTTGACTTTTCCTCGATCAGATGCTAACTACAAAAACTGACTTTACTTAAACCAAGATTCATAGAAAAAGAATGAAGGAGGAAGAAAGGAAGGGGAAAAAGAAAGACAGTAATCTATAGAAGAAACTGAACAAATCCTTACATGGCAAGAACAATTGGAATGAATTGAATGGCAAGTACAGGCATAGGAAGGATAGTTCAAGATTATTCATGATTATTCATTATTCCTAGTTATTAATGACTAACCTTGAGTGATGTACTTGAACTTTCTGAAGTTTATTGTCTTCATCTGTAAACTTGAGATCACAATGTTTCATTCACAGGATTGTAAGAATTAAACAATATAATGCATATAGCTTTTAAGCATAATGCCTAGCACTAGTTACAACATTGACAAATAGTAGCTATTTTTAAGTGTTCCAAGACATAAGATATTATTAGAATGGTATTTTGCACTACATGTTGCAATCCTAAATTTTAGCATTAGAATGTTTTTAAAAAAATTTATTGGGTTTAGACCAGATTTAAATCCTCTCTGAGAATAACCATTTGATTTCATCCCTCAACTTTTTCTTCAGTGAGATACCAACTAAAAACAAGTGACAATTTGGAAAAAAATGATAATATGTAAAAAAAGTATTTAGTATCAAGAATGTATGAAGACAAATAACTAAAACAGGCAAAGAACAGGTAGTTCACAGCAAAAGAGACATAAATAGTGAATAGACAGGAAATCATACTCAAACACATTCTTATTTCTTTCCCAACCCACTGGAAAAATTATTATCATCATCATCATAATTGTAATGTCTAACTCCCTCTTTTATTTCTCCTTGGCCTCATATCTTCCTGCAATTACCACTGAGTTTCTCTTTGCCCATTACAGCAAACTCCTCAAAAGATTTATTCATACTCACTGTTTCACTTCTTAACCTCTCTCTTGCTTTTGAATCAATTCAAATGCAGCGTTCTCTCTGCCTTTTTCTCAGTGTAAAATAAAAAGTATGTTTCTCCCAGAGTTGCTGACTGCCATTTTGAAATCATGGATAGAGCTGATTCTACAGAAATCTGAGTAGAAAGGTAAGAGGAAAAGTAAGTGCTTGATAGCATCATTGGAGAATTCAATCTGACTAACTTTGAAGTCCACCCACTTCTAAACATTTCTGTGATCATTTAACCAGTTTGAATTGGGCTTTGTGTTTCTGAGAACACACATGAATGACTAAGTTACCCCTTCTGACAGGGTCTATGGATGAAAATAAATTTCTGTACAGGAAGACAACATCTGGCAGCCCCTAAGGAGAAAATTTCTAGAGACAAATGTATTTTGGCATCCCAGAATACCAGTTAGTATTCAGTCCACATAATTCCTGCAGATTTGTACTTAAAGAGCACAGGATAATTCCCATATGAGCCAAGACAACTCACTGAGAGATTCAACCAAGATTGGAAAAGGTTTGTGAAAAGTTGAGTAATAGGCTTCCAAAAACATCAGGAAATGTTTTGAATTAAAATACATGATTTCTTTGCTCTAGAATTCAGACTAAAGCAATTTTAAGTCCAAGTCGTTAATTTATAATTGATTTATCAAAAAGTTCTTGCCTTCTCCTTTTTCTCGTGGTTAATTTAGCCAGTATTTACCCATGACTTGTGTGAGGTGCTGGTGACACAATTATGAATAATAGTCCTTATGCATTATTGCACAATATAATCGGAGGACAAACACAACAAATATGATTTTTATTTATTTTCAGTGAGGTGAATTAATTTTGGGAGATTGACTTGCAAAACCCTAATTAAAGTTCTTTAACCTTCTTCAGAAGAAGATACTGTAAGCCAAAGGTTTAATTAAGACAGTTTGCTTCTTTAAGTTACTTAGTAGTTATTTTTCTCTTGGCTCTTGTTGACCTGGAGATCCAAAGGGAGAGAGATGGAGGTGAGGGAATGGTGACATAAGGCAGCCTCTATGGGGACCAAACAGAGCTGGGGAAACGGGACTATAGAGGGGGATGAGCAAAAACAGAGCCTGGTGAATCTTCAGAGTCAGAGCCGAGTTATGAGACCACTTAAGGTGGTTTAAAAAAACTTGTATTCAGGACATGGAAAGTAATCAGCAGAAGCCTGGATAATAAATTCCGTCGGAAACCTTGCCAGAGTGCCCATCCTAGGCCATGACCTTGCCTGTGGGTTGACTGAAGCCATTTTCTCTGCATGCTGCCCCCTCTGTTGTGATAAATAATTTTTACTCAGCATTTATATATAATTTTTCTTTAGGTACTCTTTCTACACAAATGATGCTTTACATTTCTCAAATAATGCTCATATAATTGTATATTTTAGAAATGTAAGTTATTGTTCTAGTTTGTAGTCATCACTCATGAACATCCATTCTTACAAAAAAATATGTTCATGGTAGTTCTGAAGTGGAAGAACACTCATTACAATTTAACAGATACTAAAAGGAGGAGCATCTGAGAAGCAGAGATTTTCTTTCAGAGGAAGACACATTGAACTCTGTTTTGAATATTTTTAAAAATTTCTCTTCACTGAAAATTTTCTTAGTGTGTCTTACATTGATGATTAAGTTACTTGAATTGAATTCAGTTCTTTCATGATAACTGAATGCTCTCATTTACCATAATCTGTAAATTCTTAAAGCCTATACTAAATCTCTGTGCCCAACACAGAATAAAACAAATGGTCATAGCACATAAGGTTATCAATACATTTGAGTATATTTCTGTTTGGCAGAGTCTGACATCCTGACATTATGTTTATAGATACTGATGTTTATGTTAACATAATGTATACACAGTAAGTGTATGTGTATTTGGAGAGAGCTTCATTACTTTTATTGTACCAAAGAAGATGGATTATGTGGAAAAGACAACTTCCTATCTCTTATTTTCTACCATTTCAAAGAAGAAAATTATTGTCATCATTATGTCCACTATTATCTTCCAATAAACTAACTGGTGGCCACTCTACTAGTTCTTGAGCTGTGATGAAATTTTAAAAATAAAACACCACCAACAAGCAAAAGTTATAGTCCTTACATTCAAGGAAGGACTCTTCTTAGACTGAAGCTCTTAATATATACGTATTTCATACAGAAAAGAACAACTAACCACACAGTCTTTGAAATGCCAAAGGAGTGATAGAGGTGGTAAATGAGACCATGTCAGAAGAAGAAGAAGGACATCTGAGTTGGGCATGTGCGTGTATTTGTGAGAAAGAATCTTACAGAGGGAAGAATCTTAAAGCTGTCTTTAGAGGATTGGTAGACTTTGGACTATGGAAAGATGAGGTGTGGGAAAGAAATATATAGGAAGGAAGGACCAAGGAAGGAAGGAAGGAAGGAAGGAAGGAAGGGAGGGAGGGAGGGAGGGAGGAAAGAAAGGAAGGAAGCATCAAGGAAAGAAGCAAGGATGGAAGGAAGGGAGGAAGGAAGGGAAGAAGGAAGGAGGGAAGAGAAAGAAAGGAAGGACCAAGGAAAGAAGCAAGGATGGAAGGAAGGGAGGAAGGAAGGGAAGAAGGAAGGAGGGAAGGAAGGAAGGAAGGAAGGAAGGAAGGAAGGAAGGAAGGAAGGAAATGGTTACTCTCTGACAGGGTCTATGGACATGAAAAAGTTAAACTCTGTGGCAGGAAGTACAAGATCTGCAGCCCTGGCGATAAAATTTCTTTAGAGACAAATGTATTTCGGCATCCTAGAATACCAGTTGGGTGCATTCAGTCCATATAATTCCTGCAGATTTGGTACTAAAGAGCAATATGACATAATTCTACATGAGCCAAGTGATAAACCCACTGAGAGATCTGAATTTAAGATTTGGAAAGTAAAGGTCATGTGTTGAGGAACAGGCTTCCCAAAACATCAGGAAATGTTTGAATTAAAATACATGATTCTTTGGCTCTAGAATCTAGATTTGTACACCTGGTTTCCAAGTCGTTAACGATAATTGATCATCAAAAGTTCTTATTTCCTTTTCTGGTTAATCGGCGCCAGCATTTACCTACGACTGGTGGAGGAATGCGACACAAATTCATAATACAGTCCCTATGCATTATTGCACAATATAATCGGAGGAAACACAAATAAATATGATTTTTATTTATTTTGTGTGAGGTGGAATTAATTTTGATTGACTTGCAAAACCCTAATCAAACTCCTTTGAACTTCAGAAGAAGATACTGCAAGCCAAAAAGGTCGAATTAAGACAGCTTTGGTTTCTTGCCACTTAGCAGTTATTTTCTCCTTGGCCTTGCTGGACCGGAGATCCAAAGGAGAGAGAGATGGAGGTGAGGGAATGTGGTGATAAGGCAGCTCTATGGGACCAAACAGAGCTGGGGAAACGGGACTCATAGAGGGGATGAGCAAAACAGAGCTCAGAATCTTCAGAGTCAGAGCGAGTTATGAGACTCACGAAGGTGGTTTAAAAACTTGCATTCAGGAACGAAAGTAATCAGCACAGGGGTCGGATAATAACTACCGGAACCTTGTTAGAGGCCCATCCCAGGCCATGACCCTGCCTCCGTGGGGCTGGATCAGTCATCTTCTGCATGCCCTCTGGTTGTGATAAATACACCTTTACTCGTACTTATATATAATCTTTTCCTTTAGGTACCTTTCTACATTAAATGATGCGCTTTGCATTTTGTTAATGCCTATAACTGTATAGCCTGAAATGGGCTATTGTTCCAGTTTCAGGGGAATACCACCTGCGAACATCCATTCTTACAAAAATATGGTTCATGGTAGTCTCCATGAAGAACACCCATTGGCAATTTAACAGATACTAAAAAGGAGGAGCATCTGAGAAGCAGAGATCTTCAGAGGAAGACACATTGAACTCCTGTCTTGAAATATCTTTAAAATTCTCTCCACTGAAAATTCCTCTTAGTGTGTCTTATATTGATGGGATTAAGTTATTTTGAATCTGAATTCTAGTTCTTTCTAAGATAACTGAATGCTCTCATTACTATAATCTGTAATTCCTAGTTTATATTTAATTCCAGCCTAACATAGAATAAAACAAAATGGGCTGCAGCACACAAGGCTATCAACACATCTGAGTACATTCTCTGCTCTGGCAGAGTCTCGACATCCTGACATTATGCTCTATAGATACTGATGTTTATGTTATTGATAATGTATATACAGGAAGTGTATGCAATGGAGAGAGTCATTACTTTATTGTACCAAAAGAAGATGGATTATGTGGAAAAGATAACTTCCCATCTCTTATTTCACTACTTCCAAAGAAGAAATTATTATTACCATTATGTCTACTAATATCCTCTCAAATAAACTAACTGGGTGGCCACTCCATC